CTCAGTCAAAAGCCAATCATTGCATGCTGATGGTCCAGCACGTGGTCATGAGGCTCATTCATCATCTCTGGCTTCCTGAACATGGAGTCTGGCTCAGGTCCAGTACCTCTGGCTATGGTCAAATGCATTGGTCCTGTTGGAGCCAGTCGTGGCTGTTGAGAAAACATCTCGGTTTCTTCGCTCAAGGATCAGTCATCTTGGCTCTGGTACAAACAGAATCTTTCGGTTTTCATCCGCAGCTTCCTTTTGCAACACCCGGAAATCTGGCTCGGCGAGTCTGTTCCGGCTTCCGAAACAACCATGGGCCAGGCTCAGGTCAGTCCTCTGGTTCGGACAAACGCACAGAAGGTTCTAAGCTCGTCCTTGCTTTGGACAAACACATGGTCTGGCTCTGGTCAGGTCTTCCTTTTGGACAACATGGTCGAGCTTCAAGGTCAGTCCTCTGTGCTATGGGGCCGGACCAACGAAAACGACATTTTTCAGGGTCTGCACATCCCTTCTGGTCACACTGGGTCCACACCAACATCTGGTTGCAGGTCCAGTCCTGGCTGGCTTGTGGGAGCAGACATTGAATTTGGTTCAGTCAATCTCGCTAATGGCCAAAACAGCCCGTGATATTCTACTAGGGTGGGGCCGTTCCCTCTGGCTATTAGCGCACAAGCCAAGGCTCAGGTCAGTCCTTGACTCTTGAAGAAAACGAGCTGGGTTCCAGCTCAGGGTTCACGTTCCTCTGCTTTGGGAAAACGACATAGATTCAAGTGCCTAGGGGCAGTCTTTTTTGTTTTTTTTTTTCTCGGCTCTGGGCAACACGATCAGGTCAAAGTCAGTCCTCTGGCTTCGGGAAACATGGGTCGACGCTCAGGTCAGATCTCGTCTGGCTCATGGCCAACACACACATGGTTCAGTCAGCTCCTCTGTTTGGAAACTGACTGAATCTGGTTCAGTCAGTCTTCTGTTGCTGGACAGAGCATGAAATCGGCTCTGAGTCATCCTCTGCTGTTGGGACAAACATGGGTCCAGGCTCAAGGTCCGTTCCTCTGGTTTTCGTGGTTTCGGACAACATGGGTCTGGCTCAGGTCAGTCCTCTGGCTATGGCCAACACACACATGGTTCAGGTCAGTCCTCTGGCTTTGGACAACATGGGTCGAGCTCAGGTCAGTCTTCTGGCTATGGCCAACACACACATGGTTCAGGTCAGTACTCTGGCTTTGGACAACATGAATCTGGTTCAGGTCAGTCCTCTAGTCTTGGACAACATGGGTCAGGTTCAGGTCAGTCCTCTGGCTATGGCCAACACACACATGGTTCAGGTCAGTCCTCTGGCTATGGTCAACAAGGATCTGGCTCAGGTCAGTCCTCTGGATTTGGACAACATGGGTCAGGATCAGGTCAGTCCTCCGGCTTTGGACAACACGGGTCTGGCTCAGGTCAGTCCTCCGGCTTTGGACAACATGGGTCTGGCTCAGGTCAGTCCTCTGGCTTTGGACAACATGGGTCTGGCTCAGGTCAGTCCTCTGGCTTTGGACGACATGGGTCCAGCTCAGGTCAGTCCTCCGGCTTTGGACAACATAGGACTACCTCAGGTCAGTCCTCTCAATATGGACAACATGAGTCTGACTCAAGTAAATCCTCTCACTATGGCCAACATGGGTATAACTCAGGTCAGTCAACTGGCTTTGGACAACAGGGGTCAAGATCACATCAGTCCAGTTATGACCAACAAGGCACAAATACTCACTGGCAGTCAAGAGATACCGCTAGACGTGCCCAGTCTGGTCATGGACAAGCCACACAATCGGGGTCGAGTACAACTAGAAGAAGGAGATCTAGTCAGAGTGAGTCCAGTGACAGCGAAGAACACTTAGAAGGCTCACACACACACTCAGGACACACTCATGGCCAGTCTGGATCCCAACATGGACAGTCAGGATCCACAGCACAAGGGAGACAGGAAAGTACTCATGGGCAGTCAAGAGATACCTCTGGACGTGCTCAGTCTAGTCATAGACAGTCCACACAGTCAGGCTCTCATACAGCTGAAAGAAGGAAACCTAGACAGAGCCATGCCAGTGATAGTGCAAGAGCTTAGAAGAAGGTGACCACACACACTCAGAACAACTCATGGCCAGCCGTTGCGATCCCAACATGGAAGTCAGGATCCACAGCACGGTCAGGGGCAGATCAGGCGAGGAACTCACAGGCAGTCAAAGATACCACTAGCACAATCGCCCAGTCTGCAGACGCTGTGGAAACGCCACACGATCGGGGTCAGTACAACCTGGAAGAAGGGCGATCTAGTCCACAGTGTGTCGCAGCGACAGTGAGGAGCAATCAGAAGGCTCACACACAATCACTCGGACACCTCTACATGCAGCTGGTCCCAACCATACAGGACACTTTCCACGATCCACAGCGACAAGGGAGAACGTAACAGTATAGTCGATGGGCATCAAGAGATACCTCCTGGACGGTTGCCGCCATCTAGTCAGTAGAGCAAGCTCACACAGTCAGGCTGTACTCAGCTGAAAAGGAGGGAACTAGACAGAGCTGCAGTAAGTCGATAATGACAAGGAGATTCAGAACGAGCGCACCACCAACCACTGAGGACACACTCGATGGCAGCTTGGTCCCACAATGGACGTCAGGATCCACAGTAAGGAGGGAGACCAGGAAGGAAAACTTCAACAGGCAGTCAGAATCCACCTAGACGGTGCCCAGGCCTGGTACATGGACTAACCACAAGCATTCGGGGTCCAGTACCTCACTGAAGATAGGGGATCTAGTGCACACGGAGTTCCAGCGAGTGAGAGCATTCGAGAAGCCTCACACACACACTCAGGACCACACTCCATAGGACGTCTGATCCCCACAGGCATGACAGTCAGTGATCCACAAGGCACACAGGGAGACGAGAAAGTAGCTCATGGGCAGTCCAAGAGAACATCTGCTCTGAATCAGCCGTAGCTGCGCCCGTGCTCAGTCTAGTTCATAGACGCAGTCCACAGCCAAGGCTCTGCATACAGGTTCTCGAAACGAGATGGAAAGCTCTAGGACAGACGCCATGCCACGTGAATAGTGAAGAGCATTCGAAGGGCGCCACACACACACTCAGACCAACGCTCATGGACAGTCTGGATCCACATGGAACAGCTCGGATCCACAGCACAAGGGAGACAGGAAAGCTCACAGGCAGTCAAGCAGATACCACTAGACCATGCTCAGTATCCTGGGCGATGGACGAATGCCAAAAATTCAGGGCCAGTACCAACTGGATATATAAGGATCGTAGTCACTGTGAGTCCAAGCGACAGCTCGCGCTTCAGAACGCACTGCACACACACTCAGACAGCGCTTCGGCATGGCCAGTGCTGGATCGCCAGACCATCGGCAGTCAGATCCAGCTGTGAGGAGACGATGGAGCTCGGCAGCTCAAGGAGGGATACCGCCTAGAATGCCCAGTCTGGGCATGGAGAAGCCACAAAATCAGGGTCCAGTACAACTGGAAGAAGGGGATCTAGTCACAGTGAGTCCAGTGACAGTGAAGAGCATTCAGAAGGCTCACACAGACACTCAGGGCACACTCATGGCCAGTCTGGATCCCAACATGGACAGTCAGGATCCACAGCACAAGGGAGACAGGAAAGAACTCACAGGCAGTCAAGAGATACCGCTAGACATGCCCAGTCTGGTCATGGACAAGCCACACAATCGGGGTCCAGTACAACTGGAAGAAGGGGATCTAGTCACAGTGAGTCCAGCGACAGTGAGGAGCATTCAGAAGGCTCACACACACTCAGGACACACTCATGGCCAGTCTGGATCCCAACATGGACAGTCAGGATCCACAGCACAAGGGAGACAGGAAAGAACTCACAGGCAGTCAAGAGATACAGCTAGACATGCCCAGTCTGGTCATGGACAAGCCACACAATCAGGGTCGAGTACAACTGGAAGAAGGGGATCTAGTCACACTGAGTCCAGTGACAGTGAAGAGCATTCAGAAGGCTCACACACACACTCAGGACACACTCATGTAACGGGCGGATCCCAACATGGAGAGTCAGGATCCACAGTTGGAGGGAGACAGGAAACTACTCACTGGCAGAGAAGAGATAGAGCTACACATCCAAGGTCTACTCATGGGCACACCACATCTACCCTTGGACAATCACCTTCTGGGACAAGAGACAGAATTGGGTCCAGCCATACACAGACTCATCATACTCACAGGCAGTCAAGGGATAGCATAAGCAATCAGTCAAGTAGTAGTTACAGTCATTCTAGATCAAGTCATTTTCATTCAAGAAACAGTGGAAGACAAAGACATGGATCAAGTCAAGGCTGGACACATGGCAGCTATGGACGTGCAGAATATGACTATGGGCAGTCTGGGTATGGACCTTCTGGGGGCAGCAGAACAAGCAGTCGCAATTCTAGCCCTTTGAGGTCAGCAGACAGAGCTATAAACAAGCAAGTGTCTAGCCATGGACAATTGTTTTCTAGTTCAGACCACATAGCATCCAATGGAACTGAAAGGATAGCAAGACAGGTTTCGAATCATGGACAGTCAGAGAGTAGTCATGGGCAATCAGTTGATTCCCACAATCAGACAAGACACAGTATAACTAGAAGTCAGGGATCTAGTGATGGGTATACAATAGTAACTCATAAACAGTCAAGTGACACCCATGTTCAACCTGGATATAGCACAGGCAGAAGGCAGGGATCTACTCATAGCCAGTCAAGTGGCCATTCCAGATCTGGCCATGGACACTCAATATCAGCTCATGGCCATTCAGAATCTAGTTCAACTAGAAGACAAGAATCCCATGATAGTAAAGGGCATTCAGAAGACTGGGGGAACCAGACCCATGAACAATCAGGATCTGGGCATGGAAAGTCAGAGTTCAATACAGTAGGTATACATGGATCCAACCAGCAGCATTTGGGAGATACATCTTTTTGTGGGCAGATAAAATCCAGCACAAGTTTAGCAAAACAGGGATCAAGTCATAGACAATCAGGAGAGGCCCAGAGTCAATCTAGATTTAGCACCAATGGAAGGCAAGTATATAGTCACGGCCAATCAAGTGACAGCTATGAGCAGTCAAATGATAGCCAAGGCAGAAGTGAAAGATACATTTCCGATCACTTTCCTATTAGGCAAAACCCTACAGGATCTGAAGAGTATAAGTATAGGTATTCATCAAGCAGTACAACCACAGGGGATGAGAAAAGGCAAAGGCAAGAGTCAGGATTGAGTCTGTCAGGGGGCCTCAGAGGATACAGTCAGGATGTGGATAACCAGACAGGAACGTCCAAGGCCAGAGGTTACTACAGAAGGGAAAGAACAGATTCAGGTTCCCTCTACTTAGATAGCAACACTCCACTCTATGACTATTTCCAAGAACAAAGGTATTATTACTTTGAATAAGAAGCCAATAGAAAATAAACTAGCCCAAGATAAGAACCCAAAGAAGAAATGAGACACACACATGAAGTTACGATATTTAACATGATCTCTTCTTTTGGTAGTAGGGGTATATGTCTGTTCCTTTATTTAACTGTAGTACTATATTCTATTACTTTTGTTTGGTACTAGGTTTTTTTTGCAAGGCTCCTTATTCATTGAGCTTCTTGGTTAGAAATAATGAATGGGAGAAGACAATAGCATTTGAGACTATATTTAGAACTATATGATAAAGTGATTTGGGTGCTTTGGAATAAAATGAGCTTTTTAAAAAATTTCTGAGGCTGGGCGCGGTGGCTCATGCCTGTAATCCTAGCACTCTGGGAGGCCGAGGCGGGCGGATTGCTCTGCTCAAGGTCAGGAGCTCGAAACCAGCCTGAGCTAGAGCGAGACCCCGTCTCTACTATAAATAGAAATAAATTAATTGGCCAACTAATACATATAAAAAAAATTAGCCGGGCATGGTGGCACATGCCTGTAGTCCCAGCTACCTGGGAGGCTGAGGCAGCAGGATCGCTTGAGCCCAGGAGTTTGAGGTTGCTGTGAGCTAGGCTGATGCCATGGCATTCACTCTAGCCTGGGCAACAAAGTGAGACTCTGTCTCAAAAAAAAAAAGAAAAAATTTCTGAGACTCAAAACTTGGATTTTCCAGATTTTGTTTTAATTGATTATTAACAAACCTATCCAGGAAGCCAAAAGACATGCCCTAGGAGCCAAAATATCTCTAGTAACATTATAATACATTTGGTGTCCTAAACAAAGAATTCTGTGGTTGTTCCCTCGGTGAAGATTCAGAATGTTTTTATGTTATTGTGTCACCAATGAAACTCTGTACTACTTTTTTTGAATTTATTGCCATAACCTTCTGGATATAGGATCCAGAAAATTGTATGGCATAAAAATTGAAAATAAACTTTTCATTAAAGTACAGTTTCTCTTTTCTTTCCTCTCCACAAACATGGTTCCTTGCCATGGGATCAGATACATAGTTTTCTTCTACCTCTGCATGCCTAAATGGTAGTGAAGCACTCAGATATAATTAATAAGGAATCTAAAGAAGGCAAAACTTAACCACATCTGATCTTTTCCTCAACTAATCACTATATAAAAATTCACAGAAAGAAAGGCTTTATACTGATAAGTTGACCTCAGATGCTCTGGTTAATCATGACTATCACAACAATCATTATCAAACATAATCCCTAATAGCTACTTCCGAAAATAACCCAAGCTCTGGAAGTAAGAGTTATGCACCATGGATTTTCTCTGTTGAAGATATTGATTGAAATATCCATATCTAATGGGAATAGAGGCTAATGGGGTCCTGAAATTTCCAGTAGAAGAAAATCAATTAAAAATATATTCCTTCCTAGGAGGAGAAAATACATGAATTTATTATAAATAGTGTGAGAAGTAACAATGAGTAGACCAATATGTACAAAAATCCCAAAGAAATGTAAATCCCAAAGAAAATGTCCAGAACATCAGAACTAGTAAGGATTTTAAAGATCACCTCCTTAATTTTCAGGTTAAAACAAAAAATATCCAAGCAAATCATATTTAATCAAAAAAGTAACAATTTCCTCAATCAAAATTTGGTACTCCACCATCCTATCTTTGCCCCCAGATCAGGCTACTTTTCTTCCACCTTCATTTTTAGAATTCAAACTAAAGTGAAATTCATCAGTGGGTGTTCAAGATCATAAGTTCTTATTGATAGAAAAAGTTATATTAAAAAAAAGGCTAATTTTTCTGATTAGACTCAGAACATATATATCTGGTTTTTAATTTTTTATTTTAAGCACTGCACTTTAAGCACTGTGATCAACAGAACACTAGTCATATTAGTTTAATAGTGAAAGGAAATAAAATTACTGTTATGCTATTAATGATACACAGAAAAATACTGTGTATTTGGTAGTTAACCATAAATAGTAACCAATTAATACAAATTTATCCATTACCATTTATTCATTGATTAAATGCTAATTATCAAAGAACCATTACAAATTTAAATCTTGTATTTAATCTCATGCAAACAATTTCTATTGTACATAAAGTAAATGGGACTCAAAGAGATTAACTTACCAACACTTCGCAGCTAATCATAATACAAGTGCTGCTGTGACCAGGGTATAGATTTGTAGTACTCAAGCCAGAGTTCTTTCCATTCTCTTGGGTGATCTGCATTCATTCAATACATTAATAATTTCATATTCTTTATTCTCTAAATATATATATGAGTATCTATAATTTCACTGGCTTTCTGAATCAATATTAATTTGCTTATTTTATGTGTGTGCTTATGTGACCTATAAAAATATAGGTCATATATTTATGAGTGATTTCTATAATCCTTCAACCACACCCATTTGAAGTTTAAATATATTACAAATTGCTAAAACTCTTAATAATTTGTTTCAATTAAATTGGGTAATGGTTCCTTATAAATTACACCAAAAGAACTAAAATAATTCAACAAGCATTCCCCTTCTAAGATAAAAGGAAAAGTAAAAATGAGACAGCAGGTATGTTCTACAGGGAAAAAGTTTAATAACTGGGGCGCCCCCATGTGGAAGCTCTGTGAACAGTTGAATTTCTTAGATGCTATTCAGCTAGAAAAGAAAAGAGCCATAGGCATATAGCGTTAGAGATTTCCCCCTCTATTACCACCTGGGTGCCAGCATCCTATAGATAAGTCATCACTGGGCCAAGGAATACCCAATGATGTCAAAGCCTGGCTGGGACTGTCAGGGAGGAGCACATGGTACTAAAGAGGGACTCTGAGTGGCCAAAATGGGAGGAAACAAAAATAAAATTCCTATCTCTCCGCATCCATGGTGGGACTGAAAACTAGTTCAACCTCTGTGGAAAGCAATATGGAGATACCCTAAAGCGACACAAGTAGACCTACCATTTGATCCAACAATCCCATTACTGGGCATCTACACAAAGGAAAAAAAGACACTCTATGAAAAAGACACCTGCATTCGAAATGTTTACAGCAGCACAATTCACAATTGCAAAGATGTGGAAACAACGTAAGTGCCCATCAATACATGAGTGGATTAATAAATTGTGGTATATGTATACTATGGAATACTATTCAGCTATAAGAAACAATGGTGATATAGCACCTCTTGTATTTTCCTGGATAGAGCTGGAACCCATTCTACTAAGTGAAGTATCCCAAGAATGGAAAAACAAACACCCCATGTACTCACCAGCAAATTGGTTTCACTGATCAACACCTAAGTGGACATATAGGAATAACATTTATCGGGTGTCGGGAAGGTGGGAGGGGGGAAGGGTATATACATACATAATGAGTGCAATGTGTACTGTCTAGGGGATGGTCACGCTTGAAGCTCTGACTCCAGGAGGGGGGCCAACGACAATATACATAACCTTAACATTTGTACCCCCATAATATGCTGAAGAAAAAGAAGTTTTTACTTTAAAAAAATAATAAAAAATAAATAAAATTCCTCTTCTTCCAAACGTTCTAGATAAACACGACCTTTGGATAAAGGAAATTGAAGGTCAGTACAGGCTGTTTTGTTAGAGTATAAGACATATTCTCTTGTGTTCCAAGAGTTTTTGATAACCAGAGAAAATGTTCTCTTACTACATGTTGAATGCAACCTGTCAAGCTCTGTAATGTAATCAAAGGTTAGTAAATAAGCTGCGGGGGAAATAAGCAAGAGAAAGCAGAAAAACAGAAAGGAGTGAATAATAAGGGAATGCTGGATTTGACCGGAAATAAATCAGGCCAACAAACAGACGGCAGCTTTCTCTCCAATAATGAACTATTTGGCACAATTAAAAGGCCAGTAACCCAGACTCTGAAACCTGTTTTAAGCAACATCCATCTTTGAGGAACATGGTAAGTGAAAGTGAGAGAAGCTCTACCTAAAAGTACACACAATTACTAGTAGAGGTTCACAAGTGTTTTGTATTATGAAGCCATCTAGCA